CGGGAGTTCCGTCCAATGTGAAACAAGCGAAAGATCAAAATCAATTCTCAAACTACAATAGCGGAAGTTTTCGTTTCTCAGTAAAGTGATAAGAACGTTGGAGAGTCCGAGAGAACTCGGCCGTCTTTGTTGAATTGGCTTCTTATCCACTTCATGCTGGTACATCTTCTGGATTTCTGATTAGTTCACGCACAATCAGCGAAAGATTCTGACGCGATAACTCTATGATAAGATGAAGTGTAATAAGATGAAGCACAATATCAAAAAAATCCAAAAAAGAAACATTCTTAAACAGAGCTACAGATGAAATACAAGGTGAGGTGCAAGAAAGATCGGAAAGACATGGAACATATATGAACAGCGGCAAGATGGTAACTACTCTCAAGGAAAGAGCTGTAACCAAACAGTGAAAGAATACTTCTCGGATGATGAGAACAAGGAAGCCCTCTCACACATGAACACACGGAAAGGCTATAATATAATCACTTATTGAAGAGCAAGTCTATCTCGACAGAACAAAAAAGTTTCAAAGCTCTGGTTAGTCACCTTCGGAGCTCAAGAACAGTTCCTTGGATATCTTGACCGAACAAGAGCCATCAACTGGTGAACAACAAGCAAAAACCTCTAAACCCTCACAAAGGAATGGTTTTCAAAGAAGGTTATTCGAGTTTTATCGAAAAGAATCCTCGAGAAAAACACGTAAAAATAAACAAAATCAATTTTCAATTTTTTTTTCTTGAACTGGATGTCACGGAACGCAGTACACCAGCAGTGATGAGTGGTTGTTGCACGCTCATATAAATACTCCCGATGACTCGCAAAAAGCACAACCGCTGAGCATATCGTACGTACAAAAATGAAATGATCATATGTAACGTGCAGGAAGCAATGTGAAAGAATATTTCATTCTAGTTTAGCTTCTAGAATGAGCGTTCTCTGATTTGAACTATCCCCTGCTAACTGAGCTAACAATCACGAAGTAAATCATCATCAGATGAAAGTGCGCTATACTGCTAAATGAGTACTGTAGTGGAGATCATACAGACAGCCAGTTATAAA